CCTGAGCTGTTAGTGCAAGTATCTGTGTACCACCAAGTAGACTTATACTTCCCAGTAGGAAGCTGAACTGTTTGTCTCTAAGAACCAAGTAGAGGAAACTCTGTACTATTTTCTCCATAGTGGTTCTTCCAAAATTAAGAATAGAGTTACCGTATGACTCAGCAATACCTCCTCTGGGTATCTACCCCCAAAGTTTGAAAACATTTATTCATAAAGATAAATGTACCCTTATGGTCATTATAGCATTATTCACAGCGGCCAAGACATGGAAACAACCAAAGTGTCCTTTAATAGGTGGCTGGATAAAGAAGATGTGGTACATATACACCATGGAATACTACTCTGTCATAAGAAAATATGAAACACTGCCATTTGTGACAACATGAATGGATCTTGAGAATATCATGCTAAGCAAAATAAGTCACACAGAAAAAGTAAAAAATCATATGATTTCACTCATGTGTGGCAAACAAACAAAAAAAACTTCATAGATACAGACAGTAGTTTAGTGGTACCAGAGGGAAAGGGGGCAGAGGGGTGGTAGATGAGGGTAAATGGGGTCAAATATATGGTGACGAAAGGAGATTTGACTTCGGGTGGTGAACACACAATGCAATCTACAATGATGTATTATACAATTATACTCTTGAAACCTATATAATTTTATCAATCAATGTCATGCTAATATATTTAATAGATTTTTTTAAAAAAGAACCAATAGAGGGTGTGTGCGTGTGTGTGTGTGTGTGTGTGTGTGTGTGTGTGTGTGTGTGTATGAGCGCATATCTGCAGATCCTCAGAGAGAGTCCAGAATTGCTAGTATGGGTCTTTCCAACCTAGCTTTATAAGGCCTAGACAGCCTGGCTGACTGCAGCTCTGGTTTTGTAAAACAGAATTGATTTGAAAAGGTCTGGGCCAGGAGAGGACACACCTGGGAAGTGGCTGTGAATTCAGAACAAGAAACAGAACAGATGCCGAGGTATCCTGAGATCTATAGCAAAATACAGAGTCAAAGGCAACCAAAGTTTAGAGAAACGGATGCAGTCATTGAGTTAATATTAACACTTGGCCAAGAGAGCACCAAGTTTTGGCCTTCATCTTGTGCCATATAGAAGGTTGTGCGTGAGTGTGAAAAATAAGCAGTTTGCAGAAAAGGTCTAGTTAGAGCCTCAAATCTGAAATTACACTAAGTGACTGGAAGCTAAATTGTTGCTAAAATTCCTTTATTGCAACTATTCCAAACTCCAATCCATTATTTCAGGAGTTTCATTGCATGTTAAACTGGAAGGGGATTTTATGATTGCTTATCAGCGGTTCTCAACCTTCCTAATGCTGCGACCCCTTAATACAGTTCCTCATGTTGTGGTGACCCCCAACCATAAAATTATTTTCGTTGCTACTCTATAACTGTAATTTTGCTACTGTTATGAATCGTAATGTAAATATCTTCTTGTTTTCCGATGGTCTTAGGCGACCCCTGTGAAAGGCTCATTCAACCCCCAAAGGGGTCGCGACCTACAGGTTGAGAACCGCTGGCTTAGATGAATGACTTCCAGAGCCAGGAACCAGACATTCAGGTATTGAGGTTATTCCCTTCATCTCTCAGTCATTTATCTCCTTCATCTCTGTTCCTCTCTATACATCTGCTTCATTCTTTCATCACAACTGACTTCCTCTGGTTACTCATTTCATATGAGGCTCAACATGAATGTTCCATTCCTAATTAATCATGCTCTGTCAGGTCCAGAGCCCAACATTGACCACTGTCACAATGTCTCAGTTCAAATTTTTATGGAGGGGAATTTGGTCACCAGCAAAGGATGGCTGATCTTGTCTTGCCTTGGGTCATATGTCAATCTCATCCCAAACGCTAGGCTGGAGGATGAAAAATGGTTTACAGACTGAACCATAGTAGAAGAACATTCCAGAAGGCTGCAGGAAGGGCAGGTACTTGTGAGGAGCAGGTAATGAAGTTCATCTAATACCCATCCATAACCAATGAACCTTTCTTTTTTCCCATCTTCTGCCTCCCAGGGATGGGTGGGCATGGGGGAAATAAGGAGGAGCTTGAAACACATATGTGCACTCTCTGTTCTCAGGATCCAGTCTATCATCTGAGAGAGGTAACCACAGACTGGCATAATGCAAAGACAGTCTAAAAACCTTCAATGAGCATTTATGAACATGATTGCATTGGGTTATCGGAAAAGTCATGATGCATTTTTGCAACAAAAAACATAGAAAAAATACGTCATGACTTTTCCGACAACCCAGTACATGTGTTGTCCTCTTCCTAAAAACAGTGAAAACTCCATTCTTGACAATGGTGAAAGCCTAAGGATGTCCAAAACACAGGCTCTCTGTCGGTTCAGTCTTAATCTCACACTTTCTGCTGCAGTGCAGCATGTAAAAATGTAACACATTTAGACATTAAGGAGGATTCTCCTCTCCTTGGACCTTTACTTGATTGTTTGCAATTAACAAAATTTGCAATTAACATGTTATTACAGTGGTTTGACAGCTCTGAAATCACATTCTTGGATTTTATTTTTTTACTTTAAGATTTTATTGGGGAATTGGGGGATGGGGAACAGACAAGTTGCTGTCCTATTGTTCTTCAGTCTAGTTGTGGAGGACGTTGCCTCACTGGCCCAAGTTGGCACCATCATTGTGCTCTTCCTGGTCGAGGCAGATCCAATCGCCAGCTTCTGGACGGCGCTCACAGCAGCTGCTGACCGCTCACGCTGGCTGCTGGCTACACACGGTAGCCCATGGCAACCCACTGCAGCAGGGGCTGCAGCGAATGCTGTGGCTGGTGACTCACTGCAGCCCAGCTCCAGGTTGAGCTGTTGTTCAGCATGTTAGCTGTAGAGGGCAGTGTCACTGGCCCTCATATGTGGGATCCGAACCAGGGTCCTCTGGCTTCCCAAGCCAGCTCTTAACCAATGCGCCACTTGGCGGGCCCACATTGTTGGCTTTTAATGAGCATCTTTTGCAGTAAGTCCTCGACGTACAAACATTCGAGTTGCGAACTTTCACAGATACAAACGGACCTGGCATTATGAACATTGATAGATGCGAACAAATTGTGGAAGTAGCTCATGTGTCTGCGGGACATTGTCACAGTTGTGCTGCTGTGTGTTTACTGTACAGTATGATAGTGTACAGTAGTTCAGTGCTCAATCAGAGCCCAGGATGGTGATGTACAGGGGACTGCTAGGAAGCTTCAAAGGTGTATAAGACTCACTTTGTCAGACTTATGAACGAATCTGACTTATAAACAGTTCTCCCAAACGGAACTCATTCTTAAGTCGGGGCCTTACTGTACTGAAAATCAAGTGGCTCTTTTCAGAAACTTAGGACTTCAGCCAATTCTGGGGTTCATGCAAATGGTGGTGTAAGCAGTTTTATATCTATCCAAATGGAGATTTTGTGTGTAATCTCATTTTATGGTCCAACGCTGGCTATTGCAGCAAAGAATTGAACAGTTCTAGAGTTTCCCTTCTTTCCTCTAGTTAAGTTCAGCTGCATTGTGGCAGGAGGGTAGACATAGTCTGGACTTGGGGGCCATGTTTAGATGGAGCAGACCAGGGTGCAAATATACCTCCCATCTCAGCCTATAGACAGTTTGGGTATATTTCTTTTCTTTTTGGACCCCTTGGGTTAAAGACCAAGTGAAACCAGGTGGCGGGGAGAGAGGGGATTCAGGGGAAAATGGTGTGGGGGGGAAGCATCAATAATAAATGTTGTCTATTTTCACTTTGCCCAGAGCATGTGGCCCCTGAAAATCAAGGCTTGGCCTCAGTATAATGTCATCATGACAATATGCAATCATTTGCTTTAGAACCCTAGATGGAGTGAACTCTTAGCTTTTGAGCTTTTGCCCAAGTACAGCTATTAGAGATTCTAGATGATTAAAACAAAGAAGAAGAAGAAGGAGAAGGAGAAGGAGAAGAGGAAGAGGAAGAGGAAGAAGAAGGAGGAGGAGGAGGAGGAGGAGGAGGAAGAGGAAGAGGAGGAGGAAAAGAAGAAGGAGAAAAAGCCTAATACTTGTATTTACTGACAAAACACCTTTGAACCAAAAAGGATGACTTATCTGGGCTGAAGATAAAATTCCTGCCTACTGAAGTCTGGTGCAGCTGAGTTATCACTATTTTCATCCTGTAATTTGCTTTATAGGGTACTAATTAACAGGACAAAGTCTGTTGCCAGCAAAGTAAATCACATTTTGCTGTTTTCTTATTTTCTAACAAGACACAGACCTGGTCTTTAATTAAACAGCATGTGCCAAAGGCACTATAAGATACTGAAACTGGGAAACATTGGGCTGGGATGGGAAGGTCCTGGTGAAAGCTGCTGTGTAGAGTTTAAGAGCGATAGTGGGAGAGACAGGAAGGAAGGGAGAGAGGAATTGCACAGGTAACCTTCAAAAGAAGAGATTGTTTTCCTCAAATGTCCCATCTTCTCTGTCTCCACAACTCATCATATCTTCTTTGACTCTGATCAACATACTATTCCACACACATCATCTTAAAACAAGCTCATCCTTCCACAGACAACCCCTCCCCCGCCCAATTCATTCCTGTCCCCAAAGCAGTACTACCTTTTTGAAAGGTAACGACTCTACCTTCAGACCCTCTGCCCCAACCTCCGTTTTCTCCAGGACTTCTTATTCGACCTGCCCCCCTCAGGGACTTTTGACTCTGGGCTTCGCTGCCTATGGAAGGCAACTCATCCCTCACCATTTCCCTGCCAGTTCACTCCCCTCGCAGCTCACCCTCCTCGCCTGGCCTGTCTTCACTCCTTTCTCCCTCTCCTCTTTCCCCTATCCCATTCCTGGAGGTTCTGGACTGGGGCGGCCGCTCCAGCTTCTCCTGCCTCCTTGAACCCTCTGAGACATCGTTTGGGGGAGGGGAGATACGAAAGGGGGTGGTAGTGGTGGGCGGGCAGGGATAGCAAATGCGAAGCCAGGAGCCTGACGTCAACGGTCCCTGCCTGTCAATCTCCAGTGGGCGCGCTGCTCGTAACCGCTTTGACTGCCACTGACTCTGTCTCTCACTCTCTGCGGCGCCCGCAGCCACAAGCGCCCCGCGCTCCTCTCCGCGCCGGACCGGCCGCTTTGCAAGCATCTGCTCTGTCTTCGCCGGGGTCGCAGCCTGGCGCACTGCCACAGCGCTCATGACCAGAGACTTTCTGAAGCCCTGACTCCCCAGGTGAGCATCCGGGCGCCGGAGAGGAACTTTGAGGGTGTGGAGAGGGGGAGTGAGGATGGCCAGGGGATGAGTCCTTCCCGAAGCTGGAAAAATGGAGCCAAGCTTGACCCCACACCCTCCCGCTACATACACACATCCCAATTTTCTTCTTTCAAGGCCTCTTTCTAGGGGTCTCAGTCGCTTCTAGGGCTCGTTGGGTTTCGCGATCGCAGAAACTTAGCTTTCAGCACCACGGACAGCGACTCCGCTACCCTGTTTAGAACGCCCTGACCCTGGCCAGAGCCCCGGCGGGACTGACACCCCTAGCTGGATGCATATGGATGAGTGTGTAAATGCAGGCAAACTTACAGGATTGATTTGTGTGCATGTGAGTGCATGTTATCTGTGTGTATATCTGTGCAAAACCTCAGATAGCCATGAGGACATCCGTGTACATTTCACTCACTCATTCAACAGGTATATATCTATTTTGGGCTCTCACGTAACTACTGCTTCCTCCCTCTGCTTTGGGGTCTGGGGTGGGATGGACAAGACGAACGAGACACCTGCGCCCTGGGGAAGTTCCCTGGCAGCTTGAACCACACACCTGATGCTTGCTCTCCTCCACACAGGGCGCAGCGTGCCGCCGCGATGAACGCGAGCGCCTCCTCGCTCAACGAGTCCCAGGTGGTGGCAGTGGCGGCTGAGAGAGTGGCGGCAGCGGCCACAGCGGTAGGGGCGCTGGACACCGGTGAATGGGGGTCCCCTGCAGCGGCGGCGGCGCTAGGAGGCGGCGGCGCAGCTAACGGATCGCTGGAGCTGTCTTCGCAGATGGCAGCGGGGCCGCCCGGACTGCTACTGTCAGCGGTGAATCCATGGGACGTGCTGCTGTGCGTGTCGGGGACCGTGATCGCAGGAGAAAATGCGCTGGTAGTGGCGCTCATCGCGTCCACCCCGGCGCTGCGCACGCCCATGTTTGTGCTGGTGGGCAGCTTGGCCACCGCGGATCTCCTGGCGGGCTGCGGCCTTATCCTGCATTTTGTGTTCCAGTACGTGGTGCCCTCGGACACAGTGAGCCTGCTCACCGTGGGCTTCCTCGTGTCCTCCTTTGCTGCCTCGGTCAGCAGCCTGCTTGCCATCACGGTGGACCGCTATCTGTCCCTCTACAAAGCGCTCACCTACTACTCGCGCCGGACCCTGCTGGGCGTGCACCTTCTACTCGCCGCCACCTGGACGGTTTCCCTAGGCCTCGGGTTGCTGCCGGTGCTCGGCTGGAACTGCCTGGCAGAGCATGCCTCCTGCAGCGTGGTGCGCCCACTGACGCGCAGCCACGTGGCGCTGCTCTCAGCCGCCTTCTTTGCGGTCTTCGGCATCATGCTGCACCTGTACGTGCGCATCTGCCAGGTGGTCTGGCGCCATGCACACCAGATCGCGCTGCAGCAGCACTGCTTGGCGCCGCCCCACCTCGCAGCCACCAGGAAGGGCGTGGGTACGCTGGCGGTGGTGCTGGGTACTTTCGGTGTCAGCTGGCTGCCCTTCGCCATATACTGTGTGGTGGGCAGCCGCGAGGACCCGGCGGTCTACACCTATGCCACCCTGCTGCCCGCCACCTACAACTCCATGATCAATCCTATCATCTATGCCTTCCGCAACCAGGAGATCCAGCGCGCCCTGTGGCTCCTGCTCTGTGGCTGTTTCCAGTCCAAAGTGCCCTTCCGCTCCAGGTCCCCCAGTGAGGTCTGAAGGCTCCCTCTGTCCTCTCACCAACACCACGCCCCCCGACAAGCCAGCCTTTGGTGAGCTTCTAGGTGCCTGCTGATGTACTCTGAGATCCCAATAGTGTGAATCTGACTTTGGAAAGAAAGAGAGAATAAACATACAACAAACTCACAAGGACAGAAGCTTGGTGGCACTTTACATATACAGTGTATACATGTGTACATATATGTACAAATTATTTGTATCTTCTGGAGGTGTTCAGGATGTGGAAGTTCCTGTTCTGTGAAAATAACTAACAAAGACATGGTTGTATACTCAAATTATACATCACACTTGTCAAGTGAACACATTCCAATACTGCTTAATTATATCATTTCATTTTTAGCTGCTGAATTGCCAAAACAGTGTTGCCATTTTCAAGGGCAGGGGAAGGGGAGTAAAAGGTGTATTTTTATTGTATGTGACAGAATATTTTGCTGCATATGCATCAGTAAACTACAACATATTTTGTACACAAATAAACACATTATAAAAATGTAATTTTTGGCTTGTGACTGACTATAGAACTCTTTAAGAGTTGAAGTATTAGTGCATTTACTTTAAAAGTTTATGATGTATCAGCCCTCTCCTGTGAAAATCTTAATGTAAAAAAATCACATGCATTTTGTTTATTGTTCATAAATTGTCACTGAAAAACCTAATATAGATAATAAGGGGGGAAAGAAGAAAGTAATATATTCATGTAACAGTATTCACAAGTATTCACTAAAAGGTTATTGGTGTTATCAGCGCAGATTAATCTATTCCCATAATTGCTAGGTTTGGAAGACAAATTCCAAAGGATGTCTAAAACCATTCTTTCATCTCACCACATGTGCACTTGTGAATCCCGAAACCACAACTTTTAGTTGTAGTTTTTCCAGTCTGGAAAGAATTTTAAATGTTGAAAATTTATATTGACTTAGTATATTGTTGCTGGCGAGGTTTTGTAGCAAAATCCACGGCCTTATAAAATAAATACATTCTTCCAAGACAGGATTCCAAGATATACTGTGTTCATGAGGCAAATGAAAGTATGCTCAGCAGCCCCTTTTGAGGCACTCTTATCTTCAAAACACAGGGCATTAAATTCCTTAAGGACTAGACATCCCATTCCACCAATGGGTGTGAGTCTTAGTCAAATGGTTCCCCTCCTCTCCTTCTTGCAGGATGGGGATAAATAAGATAACATTTGTGGAGATGCTCTGAGCACCCGTAAAGAAATATGCACACAAGAACAAGTAGTTCTTAGGCCTTGTCTTAGGCCTTAAAAAAATAAGCAAACTTTTTCATACAATCCACAAATATTTATTGAGTGCCTACTATCTGCTAGTCACAATTCCAGGGCTGGGAATACTCTGTGCTCATAGTGTTACATTCTAGTGGAGGAGGTGGCCTACAAGCAAATAAACAATATGTATAAAGAGACTTATTATAAAGAATTGGCATGCAATTATGGAGGCGGAGAAGTCCCAAAATCTGTAGGAGATGCAGGAGAGCTGATGGTATAGTTCCAGTCTGAGTTCAAAGGCCTGAGAACCAGGAAAGCCCATGGGCTCAAGACCCAAGAATAACTGGTATTTCAATTCAAGACCAAAGGCAGGAAAAAAACCAATGTTTTATCTCAAACCATTCAGGCAGCAGGAGTTCCCTCTTACTCAGCCCTTTTGTTCTTTTCTGGTCATTAATAGATTGGATGAGGCCCACCTACATTAGGGAAGGCAATCTGCTTTACTCAGTCTACTGAGTTAAATGTTAATCCCATCCAAAAGCACCCTCACAGACACACACAGAATAAGGTTTGACCAAATGTCTAGGAACCCTGTGGCCAAGTCAAGTTGACACATAAAATTAACCATCACACCAAGAGAGCACAATGATCCAAATAAAGGAAGTGTTTAAGGAGAGAGTAGTCAACTGGGTCAAATACTGCTGAGAGAACCACTAAAATGAGGATTAAAAACAATGACTATAGGATTTTTTTTTTTTTTTTTACTGTACAGGTCATTGGTGAGCTTGACAAGAGAAACTTCAGGATAGGAGAAGTGGGGGAAAGCTTGACAATAGGAGGCACGAGAGAAAATGCATGAGCAATCTAGTCTCCAACATCTTTCAACAGAGCTGTGGCCTTTTTAATATTATGAAACGCACTAAGTTTTATAGACATATAGTTTTATAGTGTCTGTAAATTTAGAGCCAGAAGATCAGCACTATTAGTCATTCATCAAATTAACATTTTCTCAATAACTAACCTTCATAGACTATTTGCTATCATCAGACACTATTACAGTCCCTATTAGTAGCCAGAATGCATTCAAGCAGACTGAAATAACAAAAGCTCTGGCTGCAAACTTTTCCAAACATGGGGGTGAAGAATAGAAAACCATATAATTTCAGAGATGAAACAAAGTCAATATCACTAGACATTTTATAATTACAGAGAACATTTTCTTACAGTCAGTAAATTAAGAAAGTTCAACACTAGGATATCAAGACAGAGACCATGGATCTGGCTTCAATCCACTTGGTATTAATATTCAAGATCAGCCGTAGTCATAATCAAAATGTTTGAGAGAGCCAAGAACAAGAAGATATTAACAACCTGATGGTTAATATTTCTGGTTTATGCAGTTGGCCAGGTTGTGTAATGTCAATAGGCTTGATATTAACCAACCAGAGATGTGAGGATAGAAAACTGTGGGTAAACCTTGAAGCATTTCTATGGAGAAATGTCACATATTCATTTGGCCCATCAAATATTAAGAATCCCCTATTTCAATACCCTATTCTAGTTGCTAGAAGCATACAGTCCTTGAGAAAGGCAAGATTCACTCAAATGTCCAACTGCCTACCCACTTTGCTGTTTGTCTAATGGGCATCTTAAATGTAATGCATTTAAAATTGGGCCACTTATCTTTACCCCCAAATCTGTTCTTTCTCCCTTCTTTACCATCTCAGAGAATGCAATGTCATTTTTCTTGTTGTTCAGGCCAGTAACCTTGGAATCACACTTACCCTCTCTTTCTCTCATAACTCCCATCCAAATTGTCAGCAAAGCCCATTGCCTTTCTTTTCAAAGTATACCCAGAGTCTAGCCACTTCTCACCATCTCCACCACTATCATCATCTCCTGCCTAAATTATGGTAGTAGCCTTCTCCCTGGTCTCCTGGCTTCAGTTTTTGTGCCCTTCTGTCTATTGTCTATACAGCAGCTCACCCTCACAAACAGTTGCTCCTTCAACTACCCTTCAGATCCAGGCATGAGCCTACCAACAGTGCAATCTGTCTCAAAAGTACAGGCTTAGGGAAGAGGTATTTCTTGAATGAGGGATTCCAGAGTGCTGGGTACCTGGTGACTGGTCTAGCAGTAAAGAAATAGACTCTTCACCCCAAGAGAAGGAGCACAGCTGGAGAAGGCCCAGGGAAGAGCCCTGCTTGGCCCAGTGTATTAGTTTCCTATTGCTGCTGTAACAAATGACCACCAACTTGGTAGCTTAAAACAATACACATTTATTATCTTACAGTTGTCAGATTAGTTTGAAATATATTTCACTGGGCTGAAATCAAGATGTCAGCAGGGCTGCACTCCCTCCAGAGGCTCTAAGGGGGAGGATTTGTTTGCTTTCTTTTTCCAGATTTTAGAATTGCACTCCTTTGCCAGTGGACCCTTCCTCCCTCTTTAAAGCCAGCAGTCTATTATCTTGCCTAGGTGGTTACATTGCCTTCTTCTGTAGCCCAATCTCCCTCTGCCTTTTACTCTTATAAGGACACTTGAGATTACATTTAGGGCCTGCCCAAATAATCCAGGATAACCTCCTCATCTCAAGATCCTTAACTTAATCATATCGCAAAGTCTTTTGCCACGTAAGCTAACAGTTACAGCTCTGAGAGAAGTACTGATGAAAAGTGCAATAACAAAGGTATGCACAGAACGGTAAGGTTCCCATAGGAGAGTCAGGGAAATCCTGTGGAAGACTCCACTAGGGAGGCCACACTGAGCTGAGTCTAAAAGACGAAAGAAATTTGTAAGACAAAGGACATTGAAGAGAGGTTTTCCAGACCAAGGGGACAGCAGGAAGCATAAAAGCAATGCCCATTCAGAGAAGTGCAGGCTATTCAGTATGGCTGGAGTAGATGAGATTTGGAACCTAGAGAGGAAGTAGCAGGAGATAAGCCTGGAGAGGTAGGCAGGAGCCTGGGAATGAATTGCGGGTGAGAAAGACTAGAAGCCCAGAGGCTATTTTGGAGGCCAGTTGCAGCAATCCAGGCGAGAGGTGATAGTCACAGCTAAGAAGGGTAGAAGGGGTGGGGAGAAGGAGATGGACTCAAGAGCTCTCAAAGAAGTAGAGTGTCTCTAAGTAAATGATTGTTAGGGTTAAGGAACAGTTTAGAGGTCAAGGGCATTCAGTTGACCACACAATCCTATATTCACTGAGATGAGAACATAGAGCGAAAGGCAGATTTGAGGAAGAGAGTGGTGAATCAAGTTTTATATGTATTAAATGTCAGGATCTGTGGGAGATCCAAGTGAAGGCAGCTGGCTCTGTTGCTTTGGAGCTTACAAGGATGGCTGGAATGGAGACGTAATTTCAGTAGTCATTGACTTTAAGGTGAAAGTGAAGCCATGGAAGGGAATGAGAAAGGCCAAAATCACAGTCTAGACCAGCAGTTCTCAACCTGTGGGTCGCGACCCCTTTGGGGGTCGAACGACCCTTTCACAGGGGTCGCCTAAGACCATCGGAAAACAAAGATATTTACATTACGATTCATAGCAGTAGCAAAATTACAGTTATAGAGTAGCAACGAAAATAATTTTATGGTTGGGGATCACCACAACATGAGGAACTGGATTAAGGGGTCGCAGCATTAGGAAAGTTGAGAACCGCTGGCTAGACACAATAACACATGGGAGCACAGTGAAGGAAAGCCAAAGAGAAAAGGGGACCAAGCAGAAGCAACCAGAGAAGCCAAGAGGAAAAAGTTTAAAGAAGGAAGTGATCAAGTGTGTAAAGGCTGCCCAGGGGTCAAGTAAATGAGGTTTTGGAAAGCGTTAGATTTAGGAACATGTTGGTGACTGGTGACCTATGTAAGAATAGGTCCAGTGGAGAGTGGGATAAAAGCTAGATTGCAGTGGATTGAGGAGAAAATGAAAAATTTTCATTTTTCCCCCCAATAAATTTAACTTTAAATGGAAGGAGACAGGTTGGATGATAGCTTGAAGGAAATATGGGGTCACCAGATTATCTTTATTTTGTTTTGTTTTTAAAGGGAGGGCAAGAATTGAATATATTATTAGATTAAGGAACAAGTACCATATCGTTGGAAAAGCGGAAGATAGCAGAGAGAAAAAGATGTCTGACAGAGTGAGGTTTCACAGGCGGAGAATCGGGTCCAGGGCATGGTGTCGGGGGAGAGAGGGGCTTAGACAGGAGGAGGTGAGGACACAGCTCCCCTGCTCTGACAGGAGTCAAGGTAGGGATGATTGGTACTGATAGAGCTAA